GCAGGTGCCTATAGTCCCAGCTACTCAGGAGGCTAAGGCAAGAGAATTGCCTGAACCCAGGAGTTCGGGGTTGCTGTGAGCTGTGTGACACCACAGCTCTCTACCAAGGGTGATAAAGTAAGACTCTGTCTCTACCAAAAAATAAGAGACAGAGTCTCACTTTGTTCCTCTTGATAGAGTGCTGTGGCATCATAGCTCACAGCAACCTCAAACTCTTGGGCTCAAGTGATCCTCTTGCCTCGGCCTCCCAAGTAGCTGGGACTATAGGTGCCCGCCACAATATCTGGCGATTTTTTTTTAAATATAAAAGTATAAGTTTATTATATATTAGAAAAAGGAAAGGGGGGGGGAGAGATGAGAAAGAAAGAGAGGAAAAGGCAGAGAACAGGGAGTGAGAGAAGGGAAGATGGGAGAGGGGAGAAAAGGAGCAAGAGAACAGCATGGCATCCCAAGGAAAGGAAGAATGCCAACTCACCCAGCTATTTTTTAGAGATGGGGTCTCATTCTTGCTTAGGCTCAAACTCCTGAGCTCAAGCAATCCATCCAGCTTGGCCTCCCAGAGTGCTAGGATTACAGGCCTGAGCCACTGCTCCTGGCCTGAGTTGGCATTTTTATTTTTATTATATAGCATTCAATTAAAATGGACAAGTTTTTAGTAAGGAAACAAAAATTAGAAGATGACACTAGTGCATTGAATACTGCTTCATCCAGTATGTTAGCAACTAAATTAAGAACACTTAGTCATTAATATAATAAAGATTATTTATCATTTGGTTTTATATATAGTTAAGGAAATCCACCATGTCCCATGTGAGTAATCTGTGGCAAAACATTAGCAAATGAAGCTATCGTTCCTAACAAATTAAAGAGACATTTACAATCCAGACATTCCCACTTGTCTAAAAAGCCAGTGAATATTTCAAACGACTTGCACTCAGTAATACTAAACAAGCAAAAATACGGACCAAATATGCAATGATATCAAATAAAGCAAAAGAAGTATACCTTGCAGAAATTGGAGCTAGAAAAGTGAAATCTCATACATTTGCAGAATCCATTGCCTGCTGTGCAATTGTAAAACTAACATTTGGAGAAGAATAAGAAAAGGAAATTTTTAAAATTCTACTTTCAAATAATGCAATTTCTTGGTGTGTTAAGGATTTATCTGAAAATATAGAATTTCAAGTAATATTTCAAAGAAGTAAACATGTTTGCAATTCAGTTGGATGAATCTATTGATATTAGTGGTAAACCTCAACTTTAGCATTCAGTAGATTTGTCTATCAAGAAGAAATCATAGAAGAGGGTGGCACTTATGGCTCAAGGAGTAGGGCGCCGGCCCCATATACCCGAGGTGGTGGGTTCAAACCCAGCCCTGGCCAAAAACTACAAAAAAAAAAAAAGAAGAAATCATAGAATAGTTTTTATTTTTTCAACCACTCTAAACAACAACAAAGGGCCAAAATATTTTTGATTTGATTGATAATTACTTTAATACTGATAACTTGTCTTGGGATTCCTGCATAAGTATTTGTGCAGATGGAAGGAACCCCAACTATGTCCAGAGGGGTAAACGGATGTGTTAAAAGAATCCAAAAATTGCCAGGCACGGTGGCTCACGCCTGTAATCCATCCAAGCACTCTGGGAGGCTGAGGCAGGTGGGTGGATTGCTTGAGCTCATAAGTTCAAGACCAGCCTAAGCAAAAAACAAGATCTGGTCTCTACTCAAAATAGAAAAACTGAGGCAAGAGGATCACTTGAGCCTGAGTTGGAAGTTGCTGTGAGCTGTGATGTCACAGCGCTCTACCCAGGGTGACAGCTTGAGATTATGTCTCAAAAAAAAAAAAAAGAATCCAAAAATTACTTTTACATACTGTTTTCTACACAGAGAAGTGCTAGCGTCAAAATCATTGGTGCCTGAATTACAAAAGGTCCTAGTTAACAATATTAAAATTATTAATTATTGGGTGGCACCTGGCTCAAGGAGTAGGGTGCCAGCCCCATATGCCAAGGGTGGTGGGTTCAAACCCAGCCCCGGCCAAAAAACTGCAAAAATATATATATATTAATTATGTAAAAAACAAGCCATTGCTATCAAGATTATTTGCAGAATTGTGTTCCTCAGTGGATGCTTCTCATATGCAGCTTTCATTTGCCAATGGTTATCTTGAGGAAGAGTCCTATCAAGATTTTATGAATTAAAAGAGGAAGTATCAACCTTTTAAAAAATGCAGCATTCTGCCTTGGTGCCCATAGCTCGGTGAGTAGGGTGCCAGCCACATATACCGAGGCTGGCGGGTTCAAGCCTGGCCCAGGCCTGCTGAACCAACAATGACAACCGCAATGAAAAAATAGCTGGACATTGTGATGGGTGCCTGTAGTCCCAGCTACTTGGGAGGCTGAGGCAAGAGAATCGCTTAAGTCCAAGTCCAAGTTTGAGGTTGCTGTGAGCGTCAATGTCACAGCACTCTACCAAGGGTGACATAATGAGACTCTGTCTCCAAAAAAAAAATTAAAATTAAAAATGCAGTATTCTAAATTAGTCAGTTTATTTTGTGACAAGGTTTGATCCAATAAAGTTAAATTTCTTTCAGATTTTAGTGTTTGAATACTTTTAATAAGAATATTCAGGCAAATCATGAAAATATTAATATTCTCACATCTACAGATAAATTTAATGCTTTCAGAGAAAAATTACTGCTCTAGAAGGAGAGGATAAAAAGAGAAAATGCAGTAGAAATGTCTGAACTAGCAAAAAGGTGTAAATGGGATAAAAATCTTACTGAACAAATTTTACAAATTTTAGATTTATTGTGCACAAATTTTGAAAAATGTTTTCTTGCACTTACACTGGACATAAGATCTCTGGATTGGGTGAGAAATCCCTATAAGTGTGTGTATGTCAGCAAATATAAATATTATAGAAGAGGAAGAGTTAATGGAAAGAAGAAATGACAGAGAATTGCAATTAAAATATTCAACAACAGATATTACAACCTTTTGATTATCGCTCAAGGGTGAATTTAAAAATATTACCAAAAAAGCAATAGAAATACTTCTTTCGTTCTCAATGTCATGTTTGTATGAAGTGAGCTTTTCTGCAATGAATAATATTAAAACAAAAATCAATCACAGCTAGAATCCTTGGCACAAAATTTAAGAGTATGCCTGTCCAAAATTCAACCTTGCAAAGAAGATAAGTCTAAAAAAAGTCAAGCTCAGGCCAGCACAGCGGCGCACGCCTGTAATCCTAGCACTCGGAGGCTGAGGCAGGTGGATCATCTAAGCTCAGGAGTTTGAGACTAGCCTCAGCAACAGCAAGATGTTGTCTCTACCAAAAAAACTAGCTAGACATTGTGGCGGGTACCTGTTGTCCCAGCTATGCAGGAGACTGAGGCAGGAGGATCACTTGCGCCCACGAGTTTGAGGTTGCTGTGATCTATTATGTCATGGCACTCTATCCAGGGTGACAAAGTGAGACCTGTCCAAAAGAAGGCAAGCTCAGATATCTAATTAAATGTTAAATTATAATAAATAGAAAAATAAATAAGTATTTTAAAATTTTTTATTAAATCATAACTTTGTACATAAATAAGTATTTTAAAGAGTTTTGTTATCTTTTTATTACAAATTATAATAAGATATTTTGTTTTCTGGCCCTGATGGTGCATTTTGTGTTAATAAATAAATCAAAAAAGGTATTTTTTTTTTACCTTTTTTTTGAACAACATAATTTAAGTGTGCCATGAAAGTTTTACTATAGGTTCAAGTGTGCGGTGAGATATAAAAGGTTGAAAACACTGTTCTAGATAATTGGCATCCAAGATAACCAAAACAAACAGGAAAAGGTAGATTGTTCCCAAGATACAATGTTTAAGTTTGGTTCAATCTCCTGTATTATCACCAGCTAGCAGCAGAGAAATTTAAAATACAGCAATAATGAGTTACCATTTTCTGCCTAATGAGTAAGTGAGATTTCATGACAGTGTGTGGTGCTGATGAGGGGGCAATTTGCACTGCTGGCAGATGTGTAAATAGGTGCATTCTGTTTGGAAAGATCTTAATGTTTATACAAACACACACACCCGTAGAGTGCTGTACAGCCATTACAAATCAGGATTTTTTTTTTTTTGAGACAGAGCCTCAAGCTGTCCCCCTGGGTAGAGTGCTGTGGCATCACAGCTCACAGCAACTTCCAACTCCTGGGCTCAAGCGAGTCTCCTGCCTCTGCCTCCCAAGTAGCTGGGACCACAGGTGCCCACCATAACACCTGGCTTTTTTTTTTTTTTTTGGTTGCAGCTATCATTGTTGTTTGGTGGGCCCGGGTTGGATTCGAACCCGCCACCTTAAGTGTATGTCCTGGTTCCTTAGCCGCTTGAGCCACAGGCGCCAAGCCAAAAATCAGGATTTTTTTTTTTTTTAAGTGACAGGGGTCTCACTTTCTTGCCCAGGCAGGCAATGGAGTGCAGTGACTAAAAAAAGGTAATCTTGATTTTTTTTAAAGACTACCAAATGGGAAAACAAAATACAAAAACTTCATATATTAAGTGGGAAACCAGATGATAAAAATGCATATATATAAATTATAATTCTGATTTAGTTTTCTATACACAAGAAGAATTGTTTGAGTTATGCTACAGTTAACTGGTTTCTTGGCCATACATAGTGGCTCATGCCTACAATCCCAGCCCTTTGTGAAGCCCTGGTAGGAGGATTGCTTTACCCCAGGATTTCCAAGGTTGCAATGAACTGTGATTGCACCATTGCACTCCAGCCTGGGCTACAGAGCGAGTTCGCGTCTCAAAACAAATCAAAACAAAATTATGGCTTCTTAATGTTGTTTTTCCTGGGTAATGGGAATTATAAATAATATTTTTCATTTTAATTTCCTGCAATGAGAATGTATTACTTGTATATCAGGAAAATGTCCCTAATCGGCATGTCTAGGAGGCACTGGATCACTGTGAAGTGGCCGGTAACGCTCTGCTTCCCTCTACAGCTGCTGCTGGACACCCACTCCCTGAAGATGGTGCTGCTCGATCTCCCCTCCATTGGCTCTCAGGTGGTGAGGAAAGCACCTGCCAGCTACACTAAGATCGTTGTGAAAGGCATGACCAGGGCCGAGATGATCCTCAAGGTGATGGCATGTGTCCTTAAAAGGCATCTGTTAAAAGGGGCTGCATATTTATTTGATCACTTATTCTAAGGAGTTTTGGTTTTGAAAGCACAGGGTAGGAGCTATTCCCACAAGTTCCAAAAGATTGCCCACATTTGGGTGGAACTGAATTTTAGCCTTATCAGGTACTGTGGACAGTCAGTCAGTGGCCAGTTACTTGGAGATTGGTAGTTTTTCCCAACAAGTGGATTTTTTCATCATCACAGGATTTTTTTCATAACACAATTTGGCCAAGACGGGGAGTTAGGTGGAATTGTTCCTGTGAATCAGTGGCTAAGTCAGGGATCCCTCTGTTTCTCAATAGGGATTTCAGGCCCAGCCATCCATTACTCCCTTCCACATGAGGCTGTCTGTACTCTGGAGCTTTAAATAGACTCTGAACAGATGTTGTAGTAACTGAATCTAATCAGCAAATGGGTTTTTTAAAGCCTCATTTAACAAAATATTGTACTTTGGATGATGAATGTCTGAAGCCTTGAGCATCTGCATCTGATTTCCACCTGTACTTGGTGAGAACCAAAGGGGCCTATTTGGAAGAGGGGGAAGGCCAGAGAGCAAATGGTGCTTCTGTGATGTGGTCTTTAAGGTCTAGGGCCTGTAGGTGCTTCAGGCCTGTGTCCCAAAAGGAATGACTCGGACGATGGCAGGCGTAGAAAATAGCAGCGGGACTCAGACTCCAGCAGGAGAGACCAGGTGAGGACACTGCTCGAACCTTGAGTTTACGGCCTGTGGAAATCCAGAGCAGCCTGATCTTTTTCTTCTGTAGCTGTCTCGCTGGGGAGGACAGCATATAGTTTGGGAATTATCTGCAGAGGATTCCTGAGTGAACTACCCCTTGCCACTCTTTGGTACATTGTCTGGAATTCAAAACAAAATCAGCCTGCTGGGGGAAAAAAATCAGATACTGCATTCCAAAACCAAATGGAAATTAACTGGAGGATTGCAGTGCCATTCCTTTCCTTCCCTCTGTGTATTAATGGATAGTTTAAGTATAGTCAAATGGAGCTCAAGATTTTAAGTCTTCAAAATAGGCAGCTTCGGGATTTTTCTTTTTTTTTTTTTTGAGACAAGGTCTCACTTTGTCCCCCTGGTAGAGTGCTATGGCATCACAGCTCATAGCAACCTCAAACTCTTGGGCTCAAGCAATCCTCTTGCCACAGCCTCCTGAGTAGCTGGGACTAGAGGTGCCCACCACAACACTTGGCTAGTTTTAGAGACAGGGGTCTCGCTCTTTCTCAGGGTGGTCTCAAACTTGTGAACTTAAGCAACCCACCTGCCTCGGCCTCCCTGAGTGCTGGAATTACAGGCGTGAGCCACCGCGCCCAGCCCAACTTTGAGATTTTTGTCTTTGAGAAAATCCATTGTATCGGTTCCGTTTACTGACCATTTCTCAGGAATAAAGATTTATCAAGACAGAAGGACCAGGTTCCATGTACTCATAAAATGTCTCAAACAGAAGACCATCTAACACAGTATTTCCCAGATGGTCCTAATATTTATTTATTTAGTTAGTTTTATTTCAGTAGCTTTAAGAAGTACAAGTGTTTTGTGTTTCTTGTTTGTTTTTTTGAGACAGAGTCTCAATCTGTCACCTCAGGAGAGTATTGTGGCATCATAGCTCACAGCAATCTCTAGCTCTTGGACGTGAGCAGTCCTCGTGCCTCACCCTCCTGAGTGGCTGGTACTATAGGCATGTACCCCTATACTGGCTAATTTTTTTATTTTTAGTAGAGACAGGGTCTTGTTCTTGCTCAGGCTGATCTTGAACAATCCACCCTCCTCAGCCTCCCAGAGTGCTGGGATTACAAGTGTGAGCCACCTTGTTTGGCTGGGATACAAGTGTTTTTTGTTACATGGATGAATTGAAGTCAAAGCTTTCAGTGTACCTGTCACCAGAATAGTGTATATGGTACCTGACTGGTTGGGCCTAATATTTTAAAAATCACCTGGGATCCTAGCCAGGCCTCTTGTATTAGAATCGTGAGAGGAGGGGCACAGGTGTCTATTCTTTAAAAAGAAATCCAGGTGATTCAGTAAACTCAGGAAACATTGCTCTAATTGACTGTAAAAATGAAATAGGCCATCAGGACACTTCTGAGTTTAGGGGGCTGCCACTGAGGGGATCTTGCAGAATCCATTTTGTGCTTGGCCGGAGTGAGGAGAGATGCCCTGCCTGCGACTGTGAGTCCTCCTGATGCCTACTCTTATCTCCTCCCTCCGCAGGTAGTGATGGCCCCTCATGAACCTTTGGTGGTGTTTGTGGACAACTATATCAAACTCCTCACAGACTGCAACACAGAAACCTTCCAGAAGATACTGGACATGAAGGTTAGCTCAGTGTCTTGTTCTATCCACGCCTGCTCATCCTTCTCACACTCAGTGGTTCTAAACTGGGGGTGGGTTATAGGTTCCTGGAGGCTCTTGGAACTGTGTGTACCTGGCCCCGCCGGCAAATCGGATCCCAGGAAGCCAGTTGAGGAGGATGGTCCTGGGCACATGAACATCAGGATTCTTGTGACAACTCCGTACTCACTGAGACCCACCGCTCTGCAGAGGATGGGGGTGCGGGAATGGCATGTAGAGTGGGGATTTTCCTTCATCCCCATCCTTCCCTGCCTTTCTTCTCTCTCAAGCCCTCCTTTCTCTCTGATCTGTAACCTTTTCTTCCTCCCTCACCTTTCTCTCAGGGCACTACCCAGGGCTGGCAATTCCCCTGAAGAGTGTTAGTCCTCAGCCTAGAGTAATTAGATTCGTTTTAGAGCCTCAGCATCCCCTCTTGGCCAGTCCGGCCCAGATGTATGACCATCCTCCTCTCTCTGTCACCCTTAGGGGCTGAAGAGGAGCGAGCAGAGCAGCATGCTGGAACTCCTGCGCCAGAGACTCCCCACCCCGCCCTCCGGAGCAGAAGGCTCCAGCTCCCTGTCCCTGATGACTCCAACGCCGGAACAGGAGTCATCTCGCATCCGCAAACTGGAGAAACTAATTAAAAAGAGACTATAGGAACACACAGGCACTTTTTTCCCCTGGCCGATGACCCTCAGCAGCCAGTTCCCTGGAAGCCCCCCCCCCCCGCCTCTTCTATGCTCCCCATGATTCTCAAATCATCAATCTTGACGCTTTCTGGGACATTTGGGTTGTTAATAAGTGTCTCCCATGCCCTGTCTTAATTACTGTCCAGGTTGGAGTGGCTGAGTAAGGGCCACATTATGATGAGGTGGTTTAGATTATCTCTGATTCCCGAAGTAGAGGCAGCAGTGTGAAAGGGCCTGTGTTCAGGCTGTTCCTCAGCTGCTCTTGGCTGGGGGAATTGTCGGTGGTTCACGTGGCCTCACTGCAGCAGTCATACCTCTGCCTTATGGACCTTACTCCCTCCTGCATGCCTGTCCAGGCAGCTTAGACGAGGAGGTCTGGATCCCAGCCCTTCCTGCCTCTGCTACTGTTGAGGTTACCTCTTCCGCCAGAATGCTGAGTCTTCTTCCCGCATCTCTGGGTTTGGTTCTAGGGCCTAAATTAATGAAGTGGCAGATTACAGGTGTAGGAAGCCGGCCTTTCTTTGTGAAGGGAATGGAAGTGTGCACACTCTTCTGTGTAAATCCCATTTCCTAGTACATATTTTGTTTCTGATACTTTTCATGACTTGGCCATGTAATCCTTGCGTTCTTCCCATTTCTCAGTAATCTCTAAAGGAGAGATGCCCTCAATCTCCCTCAGCCTAGAGGGTTGTATGTGTCAGGCCTTGGCAGTAGGTGTCCTGTCTGCCGAAATATCCCAGACACCATATGAGGCAGACCCAGGTCTGAGTGGGAGGGAGGGTTCTGTTTGGTGCACTCACTGGGCTATGTGAGGAAGTTCTATCCTCCATTCCTTTGATTCCCACTCTGCCTCCGACTTCCTAACAAGGGGTTGCCTTCTGTCCAGAAAAATCAGAAAGTTCTCTTGGAAAACATTTCCTAGGTTTTCCCCTCAGATGACATTGTGGGAACGCCCAGGAAGCCTGTGTCCCCTAATCCCCTTCCTATCTATCCATTTGCAAATCCAGAGTACTTCCTAAAGTCACCTGAAACAACAAAGGTGATGTGGGGTGCCCAGGGACATGTCACTGTGTTCCTACTAAGAAAGAACCTCAGTCCATGGAGACCTTAGGAACAGAATGTTGGCCTTAAACACCAGCTGGGAACCTGGCACTGCTCAGCATGCAGCCTGTCCCTGGTCTGCCCTTCCTGTCCACCACCGGATCTCTGCAGAGCATGCAGGATGGAATCACCCCAGAGAATTGCTTCCAACCTCTCAAATCACCCTGAATCCAGAAAACAGGCAACACATCACGTAGTTGCCCCAAATCACGTGGTTCACCCGAAACTAAGCCTCAGTTTACCAGGACCATAGCCACAGCCAATCAATGCTAGTGTCAGCTCTTGTGCAAGAATAATATTTGTTGACCAGCTGGGGGGAACTCTGGGGAGGAAAGTGGCGCTGTCTACAGAGAATGCACATAACAGGCCTCAGGATGAAATCAGGACATCAAGTAGCAACTCAGAAATGAGTTTTCAGGACAGAGGAAGTTTCCTGAAAATCCATAAGACATGTGACAGCCATCCAGCAGGAAACTGTAAAGTTTAAAAATCTGCCCAGAAACACTGATTCATCCTCCCCACCTCATGTTTCCAACACCACTGCTCTATACTGCTCCCCTGCCCTCTGTCAGCCTTTCTCCCTGACTCTGTCCCTCAGCCCCAACTTTGATCCTGGGCCTCGTTTCTTCATCAGTTTCTACCCTATTCTTGCTAGTCAGCACATTCTTGCATATTGAACATTTTAAACTTGAGAACACTGAAAAGAAAATAAGGAAGTGGAAGAAAGAGGGGTGGTCTTTAGTTGAGCTCTATTAGGAAGAGATTCTAAATAAGACAAGTGCGGATGGCGCCTGTAGCTCAGTGGGTGGGGCGTCGGCCACTTACATGAGTCTGGCAGGTTTGAACCCGGCCCCAACTACAACTACAATCACAACAAAAAAATAGGGTGTTGTGGCAGGTGCCTATAGTCCCAGCTGTTTGGGAGGCTGAGGCAAGACAATCGCTTAAGCTCAAGAGTGTGGGGTTGCTGTGAGCTATGACTCCACGGCACTTTACCAAGGGCGACAAAATGAGACTCTGTCTCAAAAAAGAAAAAAAACAAGTGCAGGAGGGGTGGGAAGGGCCTTGGGAGAACACCCAGGAGCTCTGCAGAGGTTACACGGCCTTCACTGAAAAGAAGGGCACGGGGCCCATCTGCAGGCAGTGCAGCGATCCCGCCAGTGGTGTCCACCTCGGGAAGCTGGAAAAGCCAATGGCCTCCTGCACCTGGTTCTTGTCAGTCCCGGTGTTTACAGATCCACACTTTTTTCTTTGGTTCGTTCATGAAGAGCTGCTTTCTGGACATCTCTGTACCGTCATTGAGATGTCAAGCTGCTGTTTTCCACGGTCGGTGGTCACAGCCAGGGAAGCTGCTCTCCTGATTTATTACTTTGTTAGTACTCCCCGAGGAAACCAACAGATGTCAGTAGGAGTTATGTTAAACGTCTCATTGACGGGGACCGAATACTGTGTGCGCATCCAGTAAAGACAGAGCATGTTTCTCTACGGAGGACACGTATGTATGCCTCAGAGTCACCTGGGACACTTTAAAAAGTTATGGCTGCCTGGAGACTTTGTGTCTGTAAGTCTGGAGTAGGGCCTGGCATGGAGGCTTAAAAACGCCATAGGTGGTTATAATGTTGAGTCCTTACTAAGAATCATTGCAGTAGAGAGAAGTTTGCTCTATTGAAGTGTTCCTGTGGCACTTGTATAAAAATGTATATTTTTCTGGTTCCCTAAGCAAGCTACCGTACACCTATGCTGGTACCAACCTGGTAAAGATTCTTTGCCGATAACGAGCAGCTATGGTTTTAAACTTGTGTTGATGTCAAGGGTCAGGCTCTCGGTGTACTGAGTAGGATGCTTCTTGTTTTGATGACCAAACCCTAAGCAGAAGCCTTATTTATCAATGTCACTTCAAAATAACATATGAAAGGAACACCCGGGAAGCAGCAGCTAACAGCTCTGTGGTTCAGCGAAACTTACTGTGCCCGTTTCTTTACTCCACTTTCTGTAGCCCTTTTAAGAACCAAAAGACAGAAACAAGTTTGAATTCACTTTGTGGTTAAAATAAATATTGCTAATTTATAATCAATAAATAATTCACTCTTATTATGGACACATTTCTCTGGTAGCTGGTTTAGAGGTGCCCAAGCTGGAGAAGATTCTGTTCTCTGTTCGGACTGTAACAGTGAAACAGGAGCCACAATGGAGTATTGTAACTTCCAAATTTAGTTCTGGAATTGAAACTATCACCACTTTCTTTTCTTTTCTTTTTTCCTTTTTCCTTTTTTTTAAAGGCTAGTCAAGTGAAGTAGTAGGAGTGGAGAAGGAACAAAGGCATCTGTAATTGGTTGTGATCAATTAGTTGTAAATGCTACTTTCTTTCTTTCTTGAAGAACAAAGGACCCAGACCCAGGGCCATGCCCAGCACCCAGAAAAAGTGCCTGATTTCTTATGTCTGCGGTGGCTCCTCTGCGCAGATCAAACCGGGTTGAGAGCAGACAAGCCAAGACCAGCCTAACAGTTGCAGGGCACACAGGGTGAGTGGACAGGTCTGAGGCTGCTGCCTGATGGGAGGGATGTTACATTGGCCCATCTTGAATTGCTGTCTGGCAAGGAAACCTCATTCCCTGTTTACAGAATGCTAAGGGAAATGCCAAAAGCACACAGCTGGAAATGTCCTTCCCCTCCCTGGGAAGAAAACTCTCAAAATAACCGGCTTGCTTTGAGGGTATAGACAAGTGTTTCACACTTCTTGTCTACTCCAAGTCGGATTCCTAAAAATAAAATAGTTAGAACTGCATCGGGCCATTTAAGCAATAGCCTTGGCAACATGGATACACGGAAAGCTGGCATAACATAAAGAATGCTGAGGCATTTTCTATATTATATAAAAATGTCCAGTCTCATTCTCGTATTTATCAGAATAGCCTCTTGGACCCTCAGAGTTCTTATACCCATGAGACATATAAATTTCCTTAAAATAAAGGGATTGTTTTTTTGTGTAAATACCTTTCATTTTCCCCATCTGGAAGTGATTTCTTGATGCATATTAGAGCACCAAGTACTGCAGTTAATTAAAGCATTACTGTATGTCATTTGCTAGAATGTATTTCCTTACTGCTGACAGAAAACAGAACAGACTATAGGAAAGAATTAGCAAGCCCGTGAACCTTGGGCTCCCCTCCCAGCAGCTGCCCCCGTCCCTGGGGAAGGTGCACCCTTCCTTGGCTGTCTAAGGAAGCAGTGCACAGAATCAAAGGTGGTCGTCAGAGTCTGGCTGCTCACGGAAGCCTCTCCGGACATGGAGTAAAGTGTCCTGCTTCTGATTTGGAGCCCTTCTTGCTCTCTGAATCTCTACCCTTATAACAGTCGCAGCCTGCTTTTCTATGTGACTGCCAAGTGATTTCTCTCCTGTATGCAGCAAGTTAATCCCGTTTCCTTAATAACTGGGTGGGCATGTTGCAATGAAAACCTTTTGGGAAGTCTGATGTTCCTTTCAACTGTGGAAAATCTGTTACAGCACTTCCATCAGTTTGGCTTCAAAATCATTACCTAGTTTCCATTCTTTGCTTTCACCAGCTCCCCACTTTACTAGGGCAGCCAGGGATTGATCTAATGAGAAAGAAACATCCATAGAACCCACCTAGATGGGCAGTGTACGGTGGTTTCCCGACCAGTTCTCTTCCTTCTCACCTGTGTACACAAGCAGGCGGGGAGGTGCTGGTGAGCAGCGGGACGTGAGGAATGGGCCCATTTGAAACAAAAGCAGCCTGGGGTTGGAAACGTCTCCAGAAGGCCCAGTCTGCAGGTCTGGTCCTGGCACTTGACACTGGGCAAGTCATGGATCCTCTGAGCTCTGGTTTTCAATATCTGTGGAAGGGGATTGT